AATTATATTGAGTCTTGCAGCGCAAAGTAAAATGATGTGATGCAGTGTATCAAAGCCTAATACTTGGAATTGTATTACAACTGTGATAAGATAGATCACAGACATAATGACCTATTATAATTTGGCCATTTGCAGTAGCCAAAAAATGGAAAAATGGTTTGACACAACAGATATGACTTGAGATTATATGTACTTAAAACAAATGTGATGTTGCCATTATTTGTAAACCATTCTTTGAAATTTTTACATTTGTCATTCTGACTTTCCTGCCAGAGCTGGTAGAAACCACTGCAACTCCAGCTCTGGCTGACCAATTTGAATGTTCTGCAGCTATAGTGGCAGTGCACAACACTAACTAGTAAATTGGAATCACCTATTACATCAAATATAATGATGTGTGGCGTGATTCAATAAAGGATTCAGGTACAAATTAATTCAGGTCTCGAAATAACGGCCGATCAATGATTGGCAGGAAATTGTTTTTGATCGGCGAAGAAGCAACGTTGACTTTCATCTTGATCGGCATAAATATATTTGACCATTGTATGAAAGACATGCTTGCCTGTACGCTGTAAAAGACAAATAAAAGAAATATGAAACACATTCAAACACACGCGAAAAGCTCTTGTTTAGGGAAGCCTCGCATATCGATTTTGTCCATGAGAAACGTCCCATGTTCGTTTCTCTGGAGACCCCCTCCCTTAGAAATGTCACACATAGTTATCGATATTTTGTTCTTATAGTAAGGTTATTTTCTACTATTTTCTATGGTCGGCTATTGGCGATGCTTCCGCGAGGAATATGACATATGTGTCATCTTCTACTGACATATTTTTATTAATATATATGAACTTCAAAATTTCCAACGTTTCTCAAAACAAATTTTTTTTGCATGAAATATTGATAATTTTAGCGCGTTTTTCTTGAAATTTGAGTGTTTTCAATGCAAGGAAGGCGTAATAATATAAATGTATTATGAACACGTATAGAACAGGTATTACGAATGTATAGTCTGGTGTTTGTATCAAGTTGTTTTCTTTTTTATATTCTGCAAAGATGATTCCGAAATGTTAAGGCTTTCGAAAAAACTATCGAATTTTTCCATGATGATTGATGTTTACAGAGAAACGTCACAGCTGCAAACCCCCCACCCCCAAACGAACATATGACGTTTCTCGTGGAAAAAATCGATATGTGAGGCTTCCCTTAGTAATGCGAGTCATACGACGGGAAAGGCCGCAAGACTATTCTCGCTCTAAAGTAATTTAATAATTAAAACAAATTTGCATGAAGTATTGTCATCTCAGTCAACAGTGTGCAATCCAAACCGCTAACGACGAACGTTTTTGTTACAATAATTTCAAATTGATAGGATTTTTTGTTTTTAATAGGATTTTCTCTTTTAATTGATAAGTATTAGTTCTTAATTGATAATGCTGCTGTGTTTTTTGCTTTTATGTGAAAAAAATGCAATAACTATAATTAAAACTTGAAAAGTGTTATAATAAACTAACGTTTATATGTAGTTACACTATTAGAATTATATATATAAGTCCACAAATGTCGTAGATTTAAACTTGAATTTGAAATAAAGTTAAACTTCCTGTTCAGATGTGTAGCATATTTAGAATTTTTTTTCAAGGAAACTTAGGCAAATATACTCCTGATCGGCCAGATTTTTATTTGATCGGCAAAAAGTCATGATTCCCGATCACCATGATCGGGAACGTTGGGAACGTTATTTCGAGCCCTGCATTATGCATCAAGATAACTTGAAAACCACCCAGAGTTCAAGCATAACTATAAGTTTCACATTAAAACAAAAATCAGCCTTTGGAGAAATAGATTTTGTCCATGTGGTTGTCATCCAATTAAAAATTTTGAATTTGGATTTATTAAAGTTGCCAATAAATACATACATAAACTGACAGGGGTTGGTACAGGATTAATGCCCAAATTGCCATCCATTGAATTTACTGTCCTGAATAAATGTTAACAGAATCTTGAACGTTTAAGCAACACAAATAAAGTATAAAGATAATAGCCTTTAGAGTTTAGTTTGAATTGTTAATTTGTTTTCTTTTACCACGTTCCTTACCCAGAATTGATTATTCCTAGCCCTAGGTTTTTACAGTTATAAGCTAAAATGTCTATTACTAATGTAATTTAAAACTTTTAGATTATGTCCATAATATTAAATCAATAACAATGGTTTCTTGCTGCTTTATTAAACGTAAAAGTTACTGAGAATAAAATAAAATAAATGTACGATGTTGTTATTTCGCTTGCAGCTAATTGATAGCTATGAATTTGTTTCTTCTACTTGTACATGTGCAGTCTATTTAAAGTCAAGGGAAAAAGGTCCAAATTGCTGGTCTGACAAGCATACATTTTTCTATTATTTAGACTAAGAAAAGAAAACTAGATCATGAATTTTCCAAGGAGTCACTGGAGAATGAGGATTTACATCGTAATGCAGCTATGGCATCAAAAAATACATTGCCAGTGGTCAACCATGATGAAAATATCGCACCTGAAGAAGGGCACTCCCCTTCACCTGACGTGAGCAAATCGCGGAGGAAAGCTCCACGTTCACAAGTGAGAAAAGTTGTAAGAACAGATTTACAGAGTAAAGTTCAAGAAGAGACGAATGTAACACAGCCTTTACTGGCAGTGAAGTCTGAAACAACGTCGAACGAAAGTTTTCAAGAACCTGAATGCAGTGAAAGACAAGTGCAGAATATGGTTCAAGATGTGATAAACACAACAACTACATGTAAAGTTTTAACATCACCAAGGAATGAAAACATTAGCATACAAACTGTCAGGGAAAGTGGGGTTCGTGCTATCAATGTTACAAGTGAAACAACGGTATGTTATTGGTCCGTATGCTTTTTTCATAAAAAGTATCTCACAAGCGTAAGTTAATTTTTCTGTCGGAGACTGTAAGCACATTCTATGCTGGCAAACTGCAAAGGTTGCCAAAATCTGCTAACCATGAATAATGAGGTATTCAATATTCATTTAATACCATATTTATACCCAGGCTGACCAGTAAGTTTCTCCATGGATTGTAAAATAACTGGATAGGGAACTTCCTGATGTCACAGTCTAAACCTGTTGCAATCTGTGACGTCACGTGTATTGCCAAAGTTCTCGGCATTTTTGTTGTTTCGCTATATTTTCCGCTTTAAAAGAGTAATATTGATCGAAGCATAAACTGGTCTAATTGTTTTAAAAACATGCCTAAGCCACGACAAAGTATTCAAGGTAAATGTTTTTCGTCTTTGTTTTGTATTTTTTTACATTTGTAGCTACGAAATTGGCGTCGTCAATTTTATCGAAATTTGTCATGCATTTTTCACTGTTTAGTGCTTGAAGTATTTGCTAAAATTGACCGGGAATACTTACAGATTTCATCGTAGAATGGCCTAGTTATATTTATTTGCTCTTTGACTAAAATGTTTAGCTGTAATATCGCTAAATATGCCGTTTTTGAGAATTTGGTTTGCAACTAGGTTTCAACGCCATCATCCCATTAAAAACATTAGGTCACGTCAGCTAGTTTCCTATCCATGTATTTTATTATCCATGGTTTCACTGCACACATCTCAGTAAGATGTTTTGAGGCTCCGTCTGTCGTTTCCATACTGTAAGTAGCCATTTTTGGGACAGCACCTATACCATTTCACTGAATCAGCCAGCCGGTGAAACCGCCTTCTGACAAACTAACCTACTAAGGATAGCCACATCAAAACAAACATTGATGCCAAATAATTGTTACTCTCCGCCGTTTATACCCGCGTGTCATCCGTGAAGAAGAAGTATGGACGCCAGATTGTCTGTGTAGACGAGCCAAGCAGAAGGTTCATTTTCATGGATGTTGGTCTATTTATAGCACGTTTATACACAAGAAATCGCCTATGTATGTTATTTTCTACGCTAGGGTCAAATTCAACCTAACCAACATGAAGGACTAATGTTTTAAAGGACTCAGCGGATGTTAAGCATCCATTGTTTGAAGAGTTTTTCACTGTGCTAACTGTGGTGTGTGCGTTTATTTTTAGGTGATTGAAGAAGACTACCAACGGAAATATTTCCACCTTTTAAACACGATGAATGACCTTCAGGACAAATTTTTGGTTTCCCAAAGAAATTTTGAAGACCTTGTTAAAGGTATCTATCTGCTCCAGATTATTTCTTATGTTTCTCGGTAATCTTGAAAATGTTTGATGAAGGCATAGTTCGTTTAAGACCTCTTTCTACACATGTTCAACTTATTTCTTATTAAAACATAACCAAAATGTAATTAGAATCTAAAAACTAAAAAATATGGTAGATTAAAAGTACAGTACATGTATATTTCGCTGATTCTCAGCCTCTTCAGTTTCACGCAATTCAATATGGCGCCAGTTGGCCTAGGGAAGCACGGATTGCAGATACCACTTACTAATGCGTTACCCTGCTATACAGAAGTTGATTGTAGAATATTGTTACCAGATGGATAACAATGCTCTGACTTGATATCCTTCACATGTTGTGTAAGTAGAGTTACAGTTGGTTCTCTCCTGTCATTAGGGGGATCGACTCGCCTTCTACTCGTCACGTTTGAGCTGCGTCCGAATAGTAATATCCCGTATTTCTTTTTGAATACAGCCAGGGAAGCTTTTATAGAAGAACTGAAAGGTAAACTGGAAAGTAATCATCGAGAAATTGGTTCAATCAAACAGGAGTTGGAGACGAGCAACAATAAAATATCCGAGTTAGAAGAAAAAAGGAACTTGTACGAAAAGAAAATACAAAACTTGAGCGTGAAAGGTTGGTATGCATTCACCGTGTTCAAAAGGACGTGCATGTGAATTGCCCTTTTGCTAATATAGCGATGCTAGATAACTTTGACGGCAGGAGGCTGTACTGTAGGTTGCTTTCGTACGAAATGACGTTTTGAAGAAGGCCGAAATATGAGCACGTTTCACAGAGAATTTCTTGCAAAAAACCTACCTAACGAACGAAAACAGATTAATTATATAGCCTTTCCAGTGTTTAATTACAATATTTCATGATAGCTCCTTATTTTATTTTTGCCCCACTGGAAAGATTTTGGAAACGTAGACAGCCTGAGAGCAAGACTAACTTGTTTGAACTTATAGACCACTGCAAAGAGACAACTTGCACTTACTGCAGACACTGCTAGGGTATCATTATTTTCATCAAGCACTTTGTTTGAATTGTTTCTATATTTTTAATGTGCTAGATCACTTTTTAATTGAGCAGTTCTTGCTTGCAGGGATCTTACTGTAGTTTAGCATGCTTATATTGCGCTGAGATCGTGTACAACTTGGCCATGAACCCAGTGTTTTGGATCTGCTGGGTTAGCTTGGGTATACCCTGCTTGAATCAGAAATTCATGCAGCTGAACATACAACTATATTAAAGTGTAGACTATTGCATACATATATTAGCGTGAACAGAATAAAACACTTTGACTTTGTATTTCACTGCAACTACAGTATATGTTTGGATATATCAGTTGTCAGAGTGAACGTCTTGTCAGACTAGCATTTGAAACTCATTTTCAACTAATACTAACAGGTATATTTCATTTTAAATTAGGCAGGACAAACCCCTGACTTTTTTCCACACCCAGAGGAGTGAGCAAATGGTAATTATATATGTCGTGCGTCATACTCGGAAGCTACCGATGACCTCCTGGGGGATGGGCTTTTATGTATATGTTTATGAAAGTCGTTGTGTACTTGCCGAAAGTAGACCGCAATTTCTAAGAAACTAAACCACAAACGTTTTCCATGCAGTTCCATGTTTTCCAGTTCCAACTGGTAACATGAAATCTTGCCCCATATCTAGAATAACCTGGTATCACTATACCTACTCTACCAATATATTTTCCATCGGAAAGTTTACATATTTTATAAAACAAGCCTAGAAAACCTCTGCAGTTGAAGAGTTTCGTGTCGACTCTTACATTTTATGTATGACTGACAAGTAAATTTAGCACTAAAATGAGTCAAAATACAAAATAGTGTGTAGTATAAACAAACATCATGATTTGGGGCATCTAAAAGTTGAAGAGTTTTTGTTGATGGAGATAAATGGGGAAAAGAAATCGTTAAAAAACCTTAAACTATAGATCCCAAAAATGACAAAAGTTGTGAATTTCACAAGTTTTAAAATGGCATGCATTTATAAACTTTTGATTAATCAGTTTGTTTTTGCTCGTGAGGTAAGTTTTTGCAAGAAATTCGCAGCGTGTCAATATGTCGTCTCCTTATAAACGTTGAAGCGATTTATTGATGGAAATCTCGAGTGTAAATTTTATGGATGAAAAAAGTTGTTAAAATCCGCCATTTCGTCTTATAAAAGCAAAGTGCCATTTGGACACTTGCCCAAATATTAAGTCGATTGTTACTATATTATCACCTTTTGTGCAAATCACAGTTGTTTAAGGATTTCAAACTTTTTGGCCTTAAATTTCATGCAGTGTATATAGCTTAATTTTTGACCAATGCATGCTTTCATGGTTGAACAATTATTGTTGCAACGTTGTTAAACAGTTATTTACCTTTCATTCAAAGGCTTTTAGAAATGGGGCGGTTGCGCTCATTGTGTCTTCCACAAATGCAATTATACAAAATATAAAAAGATAAAAATGTTTGAATCTCGTGGTTTGATAAGTGGAGGACATGCTCATGGTCGCAATTTGTCTCCCAATGAGGAAACATTGACTTCAAATTCTTAGAAAGTAATTGCATTGATGAATATTGCATATAGTTACAGAGGATTGTTATACTTCTAGTTGAAGACATGAAAGTGATGGAAGCTGAAGTGAAACATCAAGTTTTGAAAAGTAGAGAAGACGAACTACAGGTATATGAGTAAACATTTTAAAAATTAGTTCAAGAACTTATAAATAATGTTGTGTTGTTTAGAGAGACATTGGTTGTATACAGTACAATAACAGGGGTGTATGTAGTTAAGAGTAGGTTTCTTGTTTCTCTACCCCCGATTGTGCAAGGATCATTTTCTCCCCTATCCAGGAGCAGTCAGAAGAAAAAATGGATAATTGAAAGACCGATGAGCGATAGTGAATTCTCCGGTTTTAAAGCGTTTTTGACCATGTCCCGGCTGAGTTGCTGGCGGAAAAATTGTGCAGTTAGCAGAAAAATCAGAATTATGAAAATCCTATTTTCACGAAATTCAATATTTTAGTTTTCTTCCTCTCTCCTTCCTCGTCTCCTCGTTTAGGATCACTTCCCTCAAACCCCCGACTTTTTTCCACACCCAGAGGAGTGAGCAAATGGTAATTATATATGTCGTGCGTCATACTCGGAAGCTACCGATGACCTCCTGGGGGATGGGCTTTTATGTATATGTTTAGTTGATGTGAATATGTGATGGATGATTAAAGTAATTACTTTTCATGTCTTTTTGCCTGTCTACACGAATAACATGGTGTCAGTAGTGGGATTAAATCGAAACTAGGAATTACAAAGGGTGCAATCTACCTTTATTCGCCGCCTATTAGCGCTGGTTAGATGTTCAGAAACAAACAAAAATCGGCGAAGTCGTGCGAACATTTCGACCGCCATTTTGAATTTTTAAAATTTGTATTTTCACGTTGAATCACGCTAAAAGCAACACAATAAACGAGCAATTCCAAAGAACGAGACACCAATATTGGACGTTAAAGCGGTTCGGGCCAATAGAAATCATTTCAGACACTGGGAAACTTGGTTTGATGATTACTGTTTGCTCGAAGGATACAGAGATCTGACAAAAGACAGAACTACTCAAACGAATGGCCATTTCATGCATCGCAGCTAAACGGCCTTGAAATAGCTGTACTTCGGGACAGCAATACCAAGCTCAGAATGGAACACGCTTGACGATGTAATCGCTCCAAAAATATCAGCAGATGATCAACAAACGTTATGGCAAGACCGCTACCACTTCTGGGTGAAAATGACACAACTGCCAACAGCTCCAATAGCAATGTGGTAAATACACTTTCTCAAAGTCCGTTTTGGAATACGGACTTTTCCAGCCTGCTTCGCGCGTTTTTTGCTCGACGTGTATTTTGGTCGGAGGTTGGCCGGGGTGTGATGGGGGTCATTCTAGCCAATGAAAAGCGTACATTTAAATTATATGAATTAATTATTCAAATGTCGTTACAGTAATTAGGCTTTCGACTTATTTATATACAATAAACAATATTTAATAAAACAACGTCATTTCAAAGTAGATATCTCGAAGATGCAATAAAATATTGGCAACAGAGGCAAACTGTTGTTGAACTGAGTTAACTTTTCTAAACTAAAGCGGCATTTTTGTTCCCCACAAGAACGGCAAACAATATTTGTTAATATAATGTTAGTGTAGTTTCATTACAACGAACTCTTCCAATTTTATATATTACTGTAGGCTAATGTTTTCGCAAACATTCGTCTTTTTATGTCTAGGGAAGAATCGCCGTCGCTTATCTACATCTTCCATGTCTTTGCCGCATTGTAGACACAACATCGGTCATAGAATTTGGAGAAAGATCGTCTTGAAACCGTTAAATAAAATATAGTCATAGAAAGATTGAAAGAAGTATAAATCTACCGTAAATTTATATGACATTTTAGTCTAAATTGTTAGCATTTTCTTCAACCGCTTATGTTATTAACAGTTATTGTCATTAGAAATTACTGTGTTTTCAAATTTGAGCGGAGATCTAGGATAAAAAAGTCAAAGGAAAGTCTATTTACAAAGTGAGCTGAAATCGAAAACTTTTCTGCTGTTCCTTTGGAGCTCAAGCTGATGAATTCATGCGTGACAAATTTCTCTTCAGCCTTAGTGAAACATTCAGCCATTTTCGCGAGGACATTTTCTATCGGGATGATCAAGGAAAGCCAGAGGACCCTCAATCCACCCCAGCCTTTGTCGTTTGTCAAGCTCTATCTTATGAGGCGGCACAGAACAAGTAAAATGCTCCAACATTCGACCACTGAAGAGTAAGTAAGGGTCTGGCCACCTTATGAGGCTTTAACCATGGACTTCATTACTCAACAATGTCCCTCTTTGTTTAAAGGAATAGTACACCTGGGCCCACCAGTTGACTTTGATCTTGATCCAAGTGTCAAACCTACCCATGGAGTCCATCGCCAGCCAGTTTCCAAGCTTGATAAAGTCAAGGCAGCAGTAGATTCTTATGAGGCTACAGGGCAACTAGTAAGAGTATCACAGCCGACTGAGTGGATATCTGATATGGTTGTCCGAGAAAGAATAGCAACACCAACTAAGCCAGGCAAGATCCGCGTCTGTCTAGATCCATCGCAGACCCTCAACAAGGCAATAACGTCGGCCAAAATACATCATTCCCACGTTGGAGGAGAACTTGCACAAATTACACAATGTAAAGTGCATGACAATTCGCGATGTGAAAGAGGCATTCCAGAACATCCCGTTGACTTCCCGCTCCTCTCTGATGACCACTCTGTATCTTTTCGGGGCGCTATAGATGGACGTGACTCCCTTTCGGGATATCTTCTGCATCTGAAGAATGGCAACGTCGTATCCACATGGTCCTTGAAGGCCTCAAAGTCGTAAGCATTGCGGATGGTAGCCTATAGTTCCAGGATGCGGTGACACAGATAAAGAGGCCAGGGTTGATCATGACCGAAATCTTATCGCAGTGCTTGAACGCCTTGAGCAAAATCATGTCAAGATCAATGCCGCCAAGATGAAATTCATGACGACAATTGTCACCTTTATGGGTCGTCTAATTACTCCAGATGGCCTTCGACCAGATCCAACAACGGTTGAGGCTGTGACGAATTCACCAGCACTCCATGACAAGCAGGGAGTCCGCCGATTCTTGGGGGCTATCAGCTACCTGAGCAAATTCTGTCCCCAGCTGAGTAGCGTCACACAACCATTACGAGCCTTTACCAAGGACGATATGCCATTAGTGTGGTCTAATCAACACTTGAAAGTGTTTGATGAAGCCACGTCACTAGCAACGTCAGCACCTTGCCTCAATTAAACATATTTAGATCGAGGACGCGGACGTCAAAGACGACGTGAAAATGGCGTCAAAATGGCGTTGCATATCCATACATGGGCACAACACGTCATTTTCACGTCGTCTTTGACGTCCGCGTCCTCGATCTAAATATGTCTAATACTATGATGTGAACGCGCCTGTGGTTCTCCAAGTGGACGCTTCTGACTACGACCTGGGGGCAGCCCTTCTTCAGCCTTCTCGGCAAGAAAGTGACGGCACTTTTGAGTTTTGACGAAAAGTCCCTCCAGCCGGTGACTTATAGCTTTACAAGCCTGACCGCGACTGAACAACGCTATGCTCAAATAGAAAAAGAATGCCTCGCTATTGTTGAAGCCTTTAAGAAGTTTGACCAGTGGCTTTTGGGAAAAGCTAACGTCACAGTGCACACTGACCACCAACCTCTACAGTGTATCTTCCAAAAGGATCATGTCTCAGCTCCGAAACGTCTTCAGAAAATGATGTCTTTTACCGAAAGGGCACCTCCCTCTACTAGGCTGTCTACTCCCTCTAGAACCCCGTGTAGAGAAAGCCCTAAGGCTTCAAAGGAATCGGACATGTTCCAAGTTTTCCGCGCACATATCAGTCCGGTTGATCCAGTTTGTACTTCTGTAAGTATCTATCCTGTTTGTACTTCTGTGATATCAACCAAGATTGGCTCGACTGGAAAAATGCGTTTCTTGCCGCGGTATCGGATTTTGTTCCCACGAAGAAACTTCAAACTCGAAACCATCTCCCATGGATGAACAGTGAGATTCTTCATAACATCAAGAAGAAAAACTCTATAAGAATGAGAATAAAAAGATCCTGTTCACCAAGTCAGCACCTTAAAGAGAGTTTTCGAAGTATACGTAGAAAGATCAAGCAAATGTTACGTGAAAGTCGACTAAAGTACATCAACTCAATTTGTTCGTCTCGTGGACAAAATCCCAAACGTTTTTGGACATTTTTTAAAACAAAAATTAAAGTATCAAATATTCCAGAAAACGTTTCCATGAAAGTGAACAACACTGAAAGAACTTCTGCCAATAACGCCGTAGAAATAGGCCTTTCCAAGGTTTCTACCGCCATATTGCAGGGGGTGCAAAAACATTGGGGCGAGCGCGCGGCCACCAATGGCGCCCATACTATTTCCTATTGAGTGAGTGAAAATTACCTTTTGACATTTTGTCCTTTTTCTCAAAAAATTTCTATACAAGCATATCCAATTTTTATTTTTAGATAATCGCTGGGTTTTTTCTGATATGTGGCCGAGATTTCTTGCTAATCGAAGGACAGGAAGTAATAAAAAACGGCGGCTTTTGTTGTACAACTTGACCGACGTTTGAGCGATGATTTTTGTACAAATATAGAAATATAAACAGTAATAATGGCGGACACCAAAGGACTTACACGTTTAATGGACAAATATTCTTCCAAAGATCGGTTAAACAAACGAAATAACAAGAATCATCGCTCAAACGTCGCTCAAGGTGTACAACAAAAGCCGCCGTTTTTTATTATTTCCTGTCCTTCGATTAGCAAGAAATCTCGGCCACATATCAGAAAAAACCCAGCGATTATCTAAAAAATAAAAATTGGATATGCTTGTATAGAAATTTTTTGAGAAAAAGGACAAAATGTCAAAAGGTAATTTTCACTCACTCAATAGGAAATAGTATGGGCGCCATTGGTGGCCGCGCGCTCGTCCCAATGTTTTTGCACCCCCTGCAATATGGCGGTAGAAACCTTGGAAAGGTCTATTGCAAATACATTCAACACGTATTTCGCCTCTATCTTTACGCATGACTCCGATATTGATCACCAACGACATCAAGACAAATATAGATCAACAACGATCAGACAAGATATTGATCAACAACGACAACAAATCATTACGCTGTGCCTGTGGCATTCTTCCTGATGATTGGAAATTAGCTAATGTCGTACCTGTGCATAAGCGAGGTGAGAAATCCTACGTAGAGAACTATCGACCAATCTCATTGCTTTCACTTATCTCTAAAGTACTCGAACGTTGCGTCTTTAATAACATCAAACATCAAGTATTCCAACAAATCAACTCTTGTCAACACGGATTTGTGCCAGGAAAATCGTGCGTGACGCAACTTATTGAAGTATTTGAACAGATAGGGCGCAAATTGGACAATGGTGAACAAATAGACGTGATTTATTTAGATATGTCGAAGGCATTCGATAAAGTAAGTCATACTAAGCTTCTTCATCGACTACGCGAATTTGGGTTTCGAGGAAACGTCCTGAACTGGTTCTCATCGTATCTCAGTAATCGTCGTCAGTAAACAACGGTTCATGGAGCAACATCAAGACCTTTAGCCGTAACATCCAGAGTGCCGCAAGGTTTGATACTTGGCCCATTGTTGTTCCTATTGTACGAAAACTACCTCCCCAACACCGTGAACAATTCAACTATTTTAATTTTGGGATAGGTAATAGGACCTCTACATGCGTCTTGGACCTGTGGTGTACTTAAAATCATTATTTATCTAATGGATTACTGTTATTTTCAACGGGGTCTTGAAAGTAGACCATGCCGTGAAATATTGTATAAAAGGTGCACGCGTTGTTTTGTGTCTCTTTATGTCATTCCATTGTAGAAATATCGTAATTGAAGTTAGCATGTGCTGTATGTAAAGTTATTACTTGGTAATTGATAGGTGTAATTTGATGATGCACATGAATTTATCGATATCACAGGGTCGGATTTGACCATACTGCGATGTTGTAAATTAGGAATTGGTAACAAGACTTGTGATTTTGCGTTGTGTAATTTTCCTGTATCTCATTTGAGTAAATGGTTTTCTTAAATATATCTTCACAGGGTCTGGAAAGTAGACCATGCAGTGAGATATTGTAAGCTTAGTCCTTGTTGTTCACTGTGTATTCCGTAATCTGTCCATCACATGTGGTTATGTGAGGATTGTAAGTTTATTCCTTAGTATTTAAGTATGGATGCAGTTAGATTATGTACATACTCACAGGGTCTTGAAAGCAAACCATGGCGTGAGATATGCATGTCATGAGTCCTATGGTTTGTTTCATGTATCTAACTATTGATAGTTAGAATAAGTAGTTGTCGTACAATCTACAAAAATGCGGTTTATAGAATCTGGCAGAACATTTAATTATGCCACTAGGGTAAACTTTATTTAAAATTGATGTCTTAGACTAATCATTCCAGATGTTTTGCAAAATGGCGCCCAGGGTCTGGCAAACTTTTTTATGACTGCACAGTATGGCAGTCATTACGTAGTATATACTATATAGGTTAATACTTTTAAGTAATATATGTAATAGGGATTGATTGTCCAAAGCGGTTCGAAGCAGTCCGAGCCAGTTCCGCGTTTCAACGTGGTATGAATAGGTAATATATTCGGTCAATATCATTAAAAATGACTGTAGGGAAAGGCGAACATGGGTCGAACGGCATGCGGAATGGCCTTGGACAAACTATCCCATTGGTTCCACAAAATTACATTAAGGAGATAAATGGATGGTATTGGAGAGATGTTGTGATTTTTAATGAAACATTGAATAATGACGTGACTGTGTATTGGGGCTATAGCAAACCTCACAGAGTCTCGGGTTGACCATGCTTGTGAAGTATGTTAGCGGATGGTATATCATATGGAAGATACAGTATATATAGTTGTGTTAATTGTACTTTTTCATTTGTTTGGAACTTAACGCTGAAAAGTGCAAAATTCTAAGAATTACCCGAAAGCAGAAGAAGATAGAATACCCTTACAAGCTTCATAACAATGTCTTAGAAAGCACCGAGTTTGAACGTGATTTGGGAGTGTGGACTACATCTAACCTTACCTGGTCAAAACATGTTGAATGTCAATGCACACAAGCAAGTAAGATGTTAGGATATATAAGAAGATCAACACTTGACAACTATCTCCGTTCGTCCCACCCTATATTTGTCCCTTGTCCGTTCCCAACTTATGCTATGGCTCTCAAGTCTGGGCTCCCCAATCAGTCAACTTGATCAAGCGCACGGAAAGAGTACAAAAGCGAACAACCAAGTACATTCTGGATCTTCCTTTCTTCTGTGAGGTCAGTTACAACCAGAGACTTGATATGCTAGATATGATTCCTGTATGTTACTGGCACGAATTTCTTGATATGATTTTCTTCTTCAAATGCACTCATGAGATGATAGTCATTAACAACGACCTACTACCAATAATCCAGAATAGAGAAAGAGCTACAAGATCTGCTGATCCGAACTGTTTGATGTTTACAACAAAAAAGTGCAAGACCACAACATACCAGAAGTCATTCCTGACGAGAGTGTGGAACATTTTACCAAAAGACTTGACAGATAAAAACACTACATTTATAAATCTGCCTTACGAAATGTTTACAACGCAGAGGATCCTCGAACTTGGAAATCTATATGTTTGTCTTGTAATACGTCTCATAACCTGTCTTGTCCCATATCGTGCTGTTAGTTTTTTGGGGAAGAAGCAGAATTCTCTGTCAGTCTGCGAGCTGTGTTTAAAACCAGCTTGAATATTAAACAACGATTAAAATATAAATATTCTGCATGGTACGAATTTAGTAAGCTTGAATATACAGAAATTTTTGTATAAGGAGAAATTGGTGGGGTATTCTGCTTTTAACCCCCGATATTTTAAAGTTTGTTTGTCTTGTATTGTGTAAAGGGTCGCTGTAATTGGCGAAAGCTGTAGCGTATACCCAGCCATGTCAATGTATGTATCGTTTATGTTAATGTATGTATAGCAAGTGATTTTAAGTTGATTTGGCAAAGCCTAAATAAATAAATAAATAAGTAAGAGACACGACTCGCGAGAAATTGCGCAGAGCAACTGCTGCGTGTTCAGACATGCAGACCCTGGAACATCACATCCACGATTGACCTCCAACAAAGCAGCAGTTACCTAAACAACTCCAATATTTTTGGAACTTTAGAGATGAACTCGCCATCGCTGATAGCCTCATACTCAAGTCGACCCGCATCGTCGTTCCACCATAGAGGTCCAGGGTATTGCCTTCGTTATGCGCGGGAGTCTGTTTTTTGGTCCGGAATGGCAAAAGACATATAATGCACCTGCTCCACATGCATCACTTGTGCCAAGTATGGAAAGCAAGCCGCCGCAGGGCCCATGTTATCCCATCCAGTACCAACGTGTCCCTGGCAATGTGTATCACAAGATCTATTTGAGCTCAACCAGAACTATCTTGTCACGGTGGACCACTGTAGTGACTTTTATTAGTTAGACCAACTCAAAGACACCCTATCTACAACAGTTGTCCAGCACACGAAAGCTCATTTTGCACGACATGGTATCCCTCTGCGCTCTCTTACAGACAACAGTACACAATTTATGTCAAGAGAATACCAGATCTTCACATAGTATGGGTTTGAGCACATAACTTCTTCCCTTATTGGTCACAAAGCAATGGAAAAGCGGAGGCTGCCGTTAAGGACGCTGAATCTGTTTTAAAAAAATCACAAGATTACCACCTTGCCCTCCTCAACATACGCAACCCCCCACCACGTGGTTATTCGTTTTCTCCGGCGCAATGTCTGATGGGAAGACGCACCCGTTCTAGTCTACCACTATGCGGAGAACGCCTTTTACCAGATTCACCCGAACTGTGACTCACGAGATTGCCAACCACCGAGCAGCGTCTAACGGCTCCTATGACAAACCGGTACAGCCTTCCCTGCCTTCTTTACCTATGGGATAATATGCATATGCATATGCAAAACCACTACCAACTCTGCGGGGACAACCGTGGACAGATGGCCGAATTGTCAGTTCACCCTTTCCACGGTCTTACAACATAGACACAGGTAGTCGTATTATTCGCGAACCCGCACCCAGATTCGACCAACAGCAACACCAACCCTCACTCCTGAGATACACCCACTGCAACCATACAC